CATATATTATTTGTTTTATCCATTCTTCTATAAATGAGAATGTGTATTGATTCCATGTCTAAACGTGCTAGTGTAATTTCAGTTGTTGTGACAAAATATTCTGACAAGAAGAAACTCAGGGAATAAAGGGTTCATTTTAGCTTCCCATTCAAGGGGAAGTTACACTGGTAGAAGCCTGACACAGCTGGTAACCATCACTTCCAGGGTTAAAAATATCGAGAGAAAAACACATGCATGCTTAGTATCCAACTACTTTTGCCTATTCTCATACTGTCCAGGGCCCAGCTAGATAGTGATGCTTCCCACTTTAAACTAGGTCCTCCCACATCAGTAAGACAATCAACACAAACCACAGAGACATACCAACAGGCCAAATTTTCTTCAGAGATGCATTATTCTCATCAATTATTCAAATCTGGACAAGGGATACTAACAACCTAGGAATCTTACTTAAGCTTGGTGACCATACTGTTACGTTCCTTTTATTGTTATATGCATTGTTGGTGGTGTCATTACTCATGTGGCAGAGCCCACTCCCTTCCATAAGAATCAGGCAGTCACATGAGTGGAAGTCTCAGCTCTCTAAATGAGTGACTGGCCTTTTTCACAGATCCAAACAATCCCAAGTCTCCAATTATCAGTATGGTAGCCCCATTTAGAATCACCTTTTGAACCAAAACTATCACATGGACATGATGATAATACCTTATGGTACTAAGTATCAGATATAGTGTGAGAATCCAAAAATGTAAGTTAACTACAATAAAGTTATGGACTGTGTATTTCAAGTAGCTAGGAGAATTTTAACTATATAAATAATAAGTATTTGAAGAAATGGTTTTGTATGCAGTGTATAAATGTATCAAAGAATTACATGATAGCTCCTTAATATGAACAGATTTATATATCTTTATCAGTTTAAACCTGGAATAAATAGCTTACTATTTATTTTACATTATCTTCTACTATTCTAAAACTGAGACTCATTCCTCTTTTTCTACTTTTCAGTCTCCATTTATTGTCATATCTAATACATGTCTAATACACCATGCACTTTTAATATTTATCTCATTGCCTCAATTTCTTATAGAACAGACATGTCAAAATTCTTATTTTGTCTGTTCAATATCCAATGATTAAAGTAATATTTGATATAGTGAATGATTAGAATTAATGAATTAATTGAATGAATGTTTGAATGGATTCAAACTCTCTAATAGACCCTCTAGTTCTTAACATAGAACTGTACTTATTTATATCTTTGAAATATGAAGACATAAATATTTGAATATTTAAGACATTATTCACGGTATTTCTGTCTTCCAAATATTTAACCAAATATCTAACTAAATATTTCAAGTGACTCTTCAATTCATAATAATGACCATGATTACATTTTACTTGATCTTAATGCACATTCTAGTATTTTCACTAAAAATTAGCTACTTAACATAATTTTAAATATTTTCCTAATTAGTATTCTGAAGGTTTTGTGTGTGTGTGATGTATGTGTATGTGTTTGTGGGTGCACATGCATGTGTATGTGTGTGTGTGTGCATGCACACTCTCACGTGGGTTAGTTATCTTCTGCAGTCACTTTCCACATTATTTTGACACAGATTTCTTACTGAACCTGAAGTCAGCTGATTCAGCTAGACTTTCTGGACAGTAAGCTCCAGGCTCCTGTCTCCTGCCTTTCAGCACTGGAAGTTACTGAAGAGCTGCCACAACTGGCTTTTCACAGACAGTATTGTGTCTGTGCAACAAGCACTTCGCTGAGATCCATTTCCATACACCATAAGTTATATATTGTAATTCTTCTGTTAACATACAAAAGATTAGGACTGTGTTTTGCAAGAAAGCTGCAAGATAAAACTAATTGCCCACTCTTTTTTACCAGGATACCCTAAATTAATGCATGTTTTTTCTTAATCTATTTCATAAAGAAGTTATGAAATATCTGCCCATATAATTATAACAGGCAGGGTATCTTTCTGTACAAAAGAATTAAAAATAACCTCTTTGTTTGGTTAAATGGGCTATGTCTCATAACCTTTCACACCTACATAAGAGATTATAATAAATGAGCTTTAGAACATTTTGTGTATCTCAAAAGGACCTGGCAATAAAAATAAAGGATAGCCTACCACTTCTTGAAATGTTTTATGCTATACTCACTTTCAATTCTTTATTTCGTGACAAAGGCAGAAAATGTATTATAGAAGTAGCAGACTCAAGATGTTGAAAAGCATTTCATAAGTGAGATCTGAATTACATCCTGCTTCAGAATCGTATGTCTGGGAAACACACTGCATTTCACAAGTTTTTAATTGATACAGACAGGAAGAGAATTATATCTCTTTTCAAGTTTCAATTCTTAGGAGATTTCTTCAAATTACAGCATAAAAAGTTCTATTGCTTGAATAGCTGCTTCAATCATGTTTTTGAAAACCATTTCTGCATACATGAGCAGAGGAAATTTATTACCTCCAAGTTATAACATGGGATATCATAAGTCATTTCAAAAGACAAGCTTTTGCTAATGAACACTGATGGTGCCATAAGTGTCCTGCTTTCGAACACAAGAAAAAGTCAGTTCTGTCTCAGTCACCAATTGCATAAACCAGGAATGGATGTGCAGTTAACACATTGCCATAAGTTAATTAGAGAGGACTTAGAGGGAAAGTGAACAGTTTAGTAACACAAAATTGCCATTCAGAATCGCACCAGTGGTTCTTCTCATTTAACAGCCAGCCTCCAGCAGCTGGACCTGTTGGTTTCTACAGCTTTTAGAGAAAGGTAAAGGACTCCATGATTCTCCCAAGCTGTGCGCCATCTGTGATCAGGCCACATTTTCCTCTTGACCTCCTTCAAATGATACCCTCAAGCTGGAGGTTTCAATTCTAGAATGATATTGGTTTAGCTTAAATAACTCTGGTTATTAATAATCCTTTCTAAATCATCCAATTTCAACATAAAATCAACTAGTCCATCGGGAAGTTATTTCTTGCTAAAGCTCCTAAATTTATGCTTGAGTATGCCTGTGCCTGGGATGAAATGTGCATTCATGGTGCTTATTAAACACAAGCTCTTGGCACAATGTGCCTCTAGATAACTGCTTTGGATGAACACCAGCTTTTCTTCCAAACTTTCTTCATTTCAGTGTTTCCTCTCAATCTCAAAGTTTTATACTGCCTAACTTTGCTTGCAAATTTCTATGGAATGACCATCTACAGATCCTAAATGAATGCTGAAGTCTTTTGTACTGTTTGTAGAAAGTTCAACTAGAAATTTTCTTCTGTAATTTTACATAAGAAAAAAAAAACTAAGAAAAAGTTTCTTATTGAATTTCTTATTAAATGGATTTCTTATTTATATCACTTCAATCCTCTCTTTATTATAGAAATACATGCACTACCTAGGCTTACATAGTATTCTAATTACCACATCAAAAAGAGTCCCCACATCCCTTGAAGAACAATTAATTTCTACAAGTGAAAACTCCCTGTTTTCTAAGGTCGCCATGTATAAATATAACAACACTAATGTCCTAACTCTAAACTAGATTCTTGGCTCATATCTTTGAAGACACTGTTTATCTTCTTCTACTTTTTTTTTTTTTGGACTAAGTAACAGATTCAATGTTCACTTCTATATTAACTTTATACCCTCTCTGGCTTTCCTACATATCTTTCTGGCTTAGGTTATTTTCCCCTCATTATTTCCTCTCCTTAATTTACCCAAAATCTCATGCCTTGGGTGATTTCCTTTCAAGTGTGATTATTACTCTCGTTATTAGACCTAGTTTTAGAATAGCTTTCAACACTGGCTCTTTACTTCCATAGATGTTCTTACTCACTAATATTTTTAAAGAAACACAGATGGGTTCTAAAGAGAATAGTTATAACTCCTACTGAATATTAATAGAATATTTATTAATTACTATTAATATAATACTAATAGAATCATTGAAAATATTAAGAAATATGCTTATACCATGTTCTTTAACTTTGATCTGGACTCAAGTTGGAATTATTGAAATGTTTATTACAAATTTACTTATTTATTTATATAGTGTTTTTGTGTGAGCATGTGTTCATGAATGCATGTGTGCATGTGTACATGTATGTGTGTGTGTTCCATGCCTAATTAATGTGTAAGTCAAAGAAGAGCTTTCAGGAATCAATTCTCTGCTGGCACTATGTTGGTCCCAGAGATCATACTGAGGTAATCAGATTTGGGGGAAGGTGTCTTTACATGCTGACACATCTTGTTGGCTCTTATAGAGAATTTTTAAAGAGTAAAACAAAGGAGAAATAATAGGCTTTTAAAATGAGGCATGCCACTTTCCTACGAGAGTAAGATCATTGCATAATAAGGACATGTATAGTACCAAATTCAAGGAGTATTGTTAAGAATTAGCAGAATATCTTTGAGGCAATACAGATTGAGACAGTGCTGTTAATATGACTAAAAAAGCTTAAGTCTGAGATAGGTAAAGATAATGGGATAAAAGTAACATTGTCTTTTTTGAGTGTGTTTAAGTGAGAATCAAAAATTATTTTGCCGACACAAATTGGATTTGGTGTATTTTTTTTCATTTTGGGGGGGTCCATAAATGTGGGGGAGTAGACCTGAGAGGAATGGGAACTGAGTTTGATCTGGGTGCATTGTATGAAGTTCCTAACTAATCAATAAAAATATTATGTTGTAAAAAAGAAACATTTTGCAAAAATTAAAATATTTTTCTATGTTACACATAAATGCATGCACTGAATTTCAGTTCCTATAGATTTCATTAATATTGTGGTTGAAGGAACTAAAAATGATGTTCATTCATTCTTGAAATCTTAAAGCAAGGTCAATTATTCTTGCCATCATCAAAATATGGCCACAGATTTTTTTTAGTTATTGTTTGAAATTGATTATCAATTTCAGAGAAAAATATTTCTATCCAACAATGATTTCATAAAAGCTATAATGTCTTTTTAAATATCTAGAGATCCCAATGGAACCCAGAGCAATAGCACAATGTGGCCTGTCTTCACAAGTACTGAACAAAAATATCTAACCTTGAACACAGAGAAGCCAAGAATAAACTCTAAGCTCCGTGCTCCTGAATGCCAGTTTTGGAAACTATTTTTTCCTAAAGTCTTGGAAATGACAGGTATGTGCTTTTTCCATTTGCTTACTTAATGGATTGTGTGTTGTGCAAAATTAGGGAAAAATGGATTATTGAATCCTGAGATAGTCTTTACTTGATCCTAGCTCAAATGTAAAATGTGATTTAAGTGATAGTTTTTTAAATAGAGAGAGAGAAAGAAATTGTAGACTTGGATGAAAAGTAATTTATATTTATGATCAAACTTGAAAATGTATGGAATCATAATTTAATGTTACTTTAATAATCGTGTAGTATTTGTTCATAATTTAAATGTTTTATTTACATTACAATAGAGGACACTTTTTATTAATAAAAACAGTAAGTAATTTTAACTAGCCATCACATGGCAGGCCATTTCTACAAATCTGATTGTCAAGTCTGTGTTAGATATAAAAAAATGAATAATGCTGATTTCTTTTTCAGAGAATTTGGGTTAGTTAAAAAAGAATTAAGCATCTCAAAGATGTTGTTAGGATGTTAATATGCTCTTTGATCATCAGACATTGATTACCAAACTTGTAATTGCGTCTTTCATCTGTTTGAAAGAGGTTAATGATATATCTGTGCTCTGAGTCTGACTAAATGTTCTGTGACATAATATATATCCAGAGATGAGTCTCTGTGTCCCTTGGCAGAGCAACAGTGCTGTCCTTGTGTCCTCTGGGTGTGAGTAACAATGAGCTAACTCACTTAATTTGCCAAGAAACCCAAACAGATCCCATTGAACATACCACAAAACACATATTCTAAGCTCTACAAGAGATCAGCTTAAACAAAAGGGTTGAGGACTACTTTGAAGAAAAAATGATGAGAGAGTGAGGAGGTGAATGTAAATGGTGTGCTTCTTACAAAGCAACAGAGGTATTGTTCAAAAACAAGGAATCTATGATAATTTACTTATTGATGTGCCATGGTTGAATTACCAGCAATTTTGAAAGTAGGATGCAAAAATCTCTACATGAAAAACTTTCCTGTCACAAAACTTCAGTTTGGCTCAACTGAGGCTGTGTCTGAAAGTAGCAGGCATCTCTATAACTTCAGCAAAAGTTTGTAGAACATCTTAATTTGCTTTGGGTTAGATTTAGTGCATCTTGAAATATAATTTTATATTTAAATATTAAATTTCTGGTGTATTCTGAATATCCATCCAGATGTATTCAAATTGAATATATTTTTTAGGAGGCTCAGGAGATGACTTATTGGGTAAAGTACTCACTACATGAGCATGGAGACCTGAGTTTGGATTCTCAGTACTAACTAAACCCCCATCACCCCTCAAAAAAAAAGAAATATATGTAATTAACTTGAAATAAAACAAACAAACTATGAAACAAGGGAATGCAAAGCTCGGGAGTCTGAAAAGCTGAATATGGTACCTCCCAATGCTACACTGGGCATTAGGGACAGAGACAAGTAGATCGAGGATGGGGGATTTTCTAACCATCCAGCCTATCTAAAATGATAAGCTCGTACTTCATTGAGAGATTCTGAGTTACATATGTATATATACATATACATACATATGATGGAAGTGATTGAGGGATTAAAGAAGACATTCCCACATCAATTTATGACCTACTTCTACTCATACCTAAATTAGCAGCCATAGCTATGTACCCATTCCAGGTCACACACAAGCACACACACACACACACACACACACACACACACACACACGAGAAAGAGAGAAACAGAGACAGAGAGAGAGACAGAAAGAGAGAGACAGAGAGAGAAATTAATAATATATCTACATACATATTTTAAAGTTTAAGACAAATAAATTTTATCATTCTGGGGACAATGTATTGATTTAATATTGTCTTATTTAAACAAGTTTTAGGTTATAGTCTTTGAGATTCATAAATAGGTAATATCAGGAAGATTATAAATGTAAGAATATATATTCAAGCTATACCTTACAGTTTCAGGTACTAAAATGTGAATGTTTTTATCTTTAATGTTTCAGATATTATATAAGACTTGGGATGAAGTTTTTTTTTCAAAGGTAATCTATAAACAAAAGAAAATATCAAAGAATTGCTACTGGCTGCCATTCTTGAAACAAGAAATGCTTACTCCACTTCACTTACAAAAGCAATAAGCTTTCTAAGCACCACTTCAGCCATCGTTTACATTACAGCAATAAATGTTCTCAAATTCAATGATTCCTAAGACTTGTTTAAACACATAAATTCCAGCACTTCACTTCTAGATTATACTTCAGTCCATGCCTGGCCATTATGGCATGAATCTGCAAGAAATAAAATGTCAGTGTTTGTGCCAAATATTTTCACATTCATATTTTCTCTGAGAATATTATCATACAGTACCTCATACTTATTTTTAAAAGGAGACAGAAGTAATCCACTCATCCTCAAAAGTAATAGAAATATCCTTTCATTAAAACTATAACATGACAATTAATAGAAAAAAATACATTGTTGTTTCTTTTTTAATCTTTGGGGGGTCTGCCACTCAGCTCCCAAATAAATGACGCACAGAGGCTTATTATTACTTATGAATGTCCGGCCTTAGTTTGGCTTGTTTCTTGCCAGCTTTTCTTAACTTAAAATTATCCTGTCTATCTTTTGCCTCTGGGCTTTTCTCATTCTCTTACTTCTGTAAATCTTACTCTTATTGTGTGGCTTGCTGTGTAGCTGGGTGGCTGGCCCCTAGAGTCTTCCTCCTTCTCTGACGACATCTTCTTTCCTCCCAGATTTCTCCTTCTATTTATCCTCTCTGCCTGCAAGCCCTGTCTATTTCTCTCTCCTGCCTCACTATTGGCCATTCAGCTTTTTATTAGACCATCAGGTGTTTTAGATAGGCACAGTAACACAGCTTCACTGAATTAAAGAAATGCAACATTAAAAAAAGTAACACACCTTAGAACAATATTCTCCAGTATCTTCCCCTTTTTGTCTAAACAAAAAATGAAAGGTTTTAACTTTAACATAATAAGACTCTACATGATAAGAATAATTATGAATTAAAAATTACAGTCACAATGTGATGAAGTCTAGTTTATTTGTGTCTGGCAAATTAAAAGAAAATACTCCATTGTCTATCCTATCTTAATGAATCTAAGGTTTTATACTTAATTTACTCTCTATTATAAGCAAGGAAAACTGCAACTACAACTACCTTGTCTTCAATTCCAACAAAGACTCCAGAAGGATAATATTATTTGAGTAAACAAAAAGTGCATTGCAAACAACTGCCAAAACTCTAGAAATGACAGAGATATCTGACTGTCTGGACAGTCACCCAAAGTTTCTTCTGTAACCTTGGGGCATTCATCTTTAGCTTACAGGCCTAGAGTATCAAGCAGACTTCTCATTGAAGCAGGAAATTTGAAGGACTATCCTGCCTTGTATTTGCAAAATTTATCAGTTGCTTTTCTCTGTGTCCTGCAGAATATTTGACAGACTCTTCTGTGAAGCAGGGAAATTGAAAGCCTGTCCTGCCTTGTTTGGGCAAAGTTCAACAGTCTTTGTCCTATGTGTCCGCCTGTCCAGTTTGCACAGTACATTTCAATAGTCAAAGGCAAGAACAGTGTCATTGCCCAGTGTCTAACCTTGCCACAATAAAAGCAAACTCCATAAGGAGTTTCTTCAGAGCGAATTATCTTCTTTGAAGTAAACTGATGCTGCAAGGAGCAGATGTGTCTCATTGTTATGAAAAACTTGAAATTAACAAAACATTTTAAATGTCATATTCTATATATCTATTTAACCTAGAAAACATACCTAAAACATCTACAACTTTGAGATGAGATTGAGAGAGTGGGACCTTCATCTGTGGGATTAGTGAGTGTTCTTATTAAATAATATAAAATAAACTGAGAATAAAATAACAAAATAAAATAAAAACCTGAGATAGCTTCCCAATTCCTGGGTGTGTAAAGACACAATAATGAGGCTGTCACTTATGAACTAGGAACAAAATCGTCACAAAAGTTATGGTGAACTAAGCTTTGATTTTTATCCTCAGGAATACCAGATATAAGTTTCAATTGTATTAGGTGTACTGTTGTACTGTATTCGAAGGGACCTAAAATATGCCCCCCTTCCTCTGTCTATACAAAAGAATTTCAGTTTTTCTTGAAATGGGCTCACTTTTTTTTTCTTCCTAAAACAAAGAATAGTGATCAGCTTCATAGAAAAGAGAACCTCTTATTTTCAGATAAGACACAAATGTGGAAAGAAACAATGATAACAAAAAGTGAATTGAAAAAGTTAATTTCTGTGCAACCTCCCATGACAGTCCACATCGGTTTTTCCCTCCCCACCGCAATGAAATATCAAATAAAAAAGCAAAATTGTTTTTATTCTCCAACCCATCCACAGGCCCCAAACACACACAAATAAAGCAAGCCGTTCCTGTTTTATATCTAGAAAAACAGTTTGTGTCATTTGAAGCAATTTCAAAGTAGCCAAATCACTCATAGAAACAAATTATATGAAAATTAAGTTTAAGGACTGGAGAGGGCCCTGCAGTTAAGAGAGTGTGCTGTTCTTGCAGAGGACCCTGTGCAGTTTCCAGCACTCATGTTGGGCAATTCACAATTGCCTGGAACTCCAGCTCCAGGAGACTAGAAGCTGGCTTCTATTCACTACTTGAGCTCCACTCACATGCACAAACCCCAACAAAGACCAACAAACAATGCACATAATTAAAAAAATTAAAATAAATACATTTAATCTAAGTGTCTTAGTACTAGGTGGCAAATTAATAGGTTATATATCAAGATGCATAAACAATTAAGCTTATTCATATGTGTAAAGTCAAATTATATTTATGTTCCTTTAATATACTTTTAAAAAAATCAGATGGAAATTGCTAACTTATTTATGAAGAACTTTTCTGCTTTTAGGAAATACTCAGGTCAAAACTACCACAATTCAATTTAAGTTGAATTGACTTATGGAAATTCTATTACAAATATTCAAGTGTTCTGCACATTGGCATGGTAGTATTAGGCAGCTATTGTCTGGAAAATAAAGACAGAATTATTAGTTGTCTGTCATTGCATAAGAAGTTTTAACTTCATTTGATTCAATTTTATTCATAAATCATTGGCTTTTTACAAAAATTTTTAAATTTTTCTGTTTTGTTTAGTTTAAAATTTTTTCTATCCATTTGAAGATATATGTTGTAAAGTTGTATATTGGTATGAATAAGACCGATGTAACACTCTTTCAGAATATCAATTACCATTCTTGCTAAAAACAACATAGGATGCTTTATTTGGTGGGTAACTGGGTGGCAGCTAGCAGGATACAAATACATGTGTATAATACTAATGAACAAAAGGGGCCATGAATTTAAAAACTAGAAAAGAGGGGCATTTGGGAGTGTTTGAAGGAAGCAAAGGGAATGATGAAACTGTGTAATTATATAATAACTTAAAAAACTAAAAATAATTTTCAAAAAGAAATAGGATTTTAAGATATTGGTTAATGCAAAGTATATAAAATACTTACATTCAAAACAAAAAATATCATCAATTATCCACAAAATATTAAGTGTTGGAAAGAGATAAACAATTTCTAAATAACTGGTAGATTCAAGTAGATTGCTATCCCTATATGGTTTGCATTTAACAAATTCTTGCACTATTTTGGGTAGTATAACCAGCTACTGCATAGAAATATGATTTCCCTTCTTTTCATTTTCATCCATTAATATGATAACTGTTTATAGAGTATATGCTCTGTTCCCTAGCCCTAGGAAGGGACTGAGTTATCCATGAAGCCCTCATAAGAATGATGCATGCTCACTCACAGTGAATTGGCAGAGACACGATCCAGGATCGTGGAAAGCTATTAACAGAAGACACCTGCACTGAATCTTAATAGGAAGGCATTCTAGAGAGGGGAGCCAAATAACCAAGGACCCGGGACGAAGTGTCCTGTGCACCATGCTAAGGAATTTAAATTCTATCTTAAGCACAGCTGCTTAGTAATTTCAAGTGGAGGTCTGACAGGTCTTGGTTGTTGATTCCTGGATGTATTAGCTTTCGCTGCATGCAAGGCTCTCCTGCTTTGCATTATGACACACATTCCCACAGTCATTTCATTCCCCAGGCAGTGCTGCTTTTGTTTGCCTGTTCCTATCAAGAACATGCTAGCTTTGCTATTTTCATTTTATTTGAATGTTAATATATTTCATTTCTGTTTTTTTAAAGTATTCCAAATATGCTTTTCTCTAGTATGAAAATATTTAATGTTAAGTTTGCCACTGACTGGTATTTTCTAATTCAAGAAATAGCATACAGATGCCTAAAATTCTGCAGTCGATCTTTCCTCTTTATATGATTGATAATTATAAAATAATTTTATTTCATATATTTCAGTATGATCTTTTCTGTGAAAAATCATGAGAACTGTTAATTTTATGGATATTGATGTTTTTATCTTATTCTTAATGAACTTCAGCATAGTGCTTGGCCCTGATTACTTCTCTGGTCATTATTCATATCTATAACATTTTTCTTTAATTTATGTTGCATATTTGTGTAGGTTTTTCACTTTTCAGTGTTTCTTTATTTGACATATATTATTAAAAGTGACAAACTGAAGACAATGGATGAACACTCTTTGTTATACCGTGCTTCATGTCACAAATGAAGCAAGTTTATTTTCCTAAAAATATTTCTATTTAGTGAACACTGTAGAGCATCAGTAGAGGGGATACATACAAATACTCTTTACACATAATTCTAGGGATGGCTCTTCAATAGATTTATACCTCTTCATAAAAGGTAATCATTCCATAATACAATATGATGCTCCTTCATATCACAATGTGTAAATCATAAAGTATTGTCACTGTAACAAGAAAATGAAGAAATTTTATTATTATTTATAATTCTCTCTGTAAGTTATAATTCTAACAACAAATGGAAGATATCCATAGATATATCCTTATATACTGATGAAAATGCTACCTCAATATTTAATACTTATCAATATTTTACTATAAATTTAATATCAATCTTCTACTTTCTTTTTCATTTTTCTAAATGCTTGTAGTGTATCCTCTTAGACACTCTGTTTTTTAAAGTTACTTTTTTCTTTCACACAAATAAATATATACATGTGGAAAAATGATTAATGGTATAAACATCAGATAAAACTACATATGACTCACAAACTACTTAAAGGTCTTCTTAGTTATCTTTCTGTTTACAAAGGAAATATTAAACTGCCTTCTTATGGTCAACACTGTAAACAACTGAGCATCATATGGAATGAAAATGTATTTTAATGAGTGTAAAAATCTCTATGGAATGATAATTACAAAATTCTCTTTATATATCAGTAAATATTTACATATATAATTACTTCATCTGAAGATAATACCCTAGTGTCTGTGTGTGGGTAAGTTTTGTATTATGAAGTTTTTGTAATGCTTAAAGTGTTCATTAATAGAAGTAATATCTGCATGTCTTCTGAGAAAATAATGAAAGAACATACAATATAAATTGACACAATACAATGTATATTTTCACTTTATTTTCATTTTATACACATTTTAGTTGCATTATTTAATATACTGTATAAAAGTTTATTAAAAGCTTTTCCAGCAGTTATAGAAGTTGATAATACATAATGAAAAATAAAGCCTTGCTATGCTGCGCACTTGCAGAAAATGTCATCTATAATTAGAATAATTTTTCAAGTAATATAAACAGAGATTAAACTTTAGATTAATGCAATGTATTCCATGTTTTACAGGAAATATTGATGAAACAGAACAAGAGTGGAAAGCAGGATTGCATCGTTGGAGCAATTACATGATGGACTGGAGAAATCAATTTAACGATTACACTAGCAAGAAAGAGAGTTGTATGGGTCTCTAATTAATAGATTCACCCTTTCTAGAATGTCCATTTTCCTGTAGATGAAAGCAACAATACCAGTAGCTCTCTTCGCATATACCAAGAATGCTATTATACAACCAAAGGAGAATTGCCAGAGGAGAATATTGATTCCTCACATCTTTCACTTAGTATTTTACCTAATGTTTCAGAGCCAAGTCACTAGAAGTTGTTTTATTAATTTTCAGAATATAAACTTTGAGAATTAATTAGGTCTATATTAATACAACATGCTGTTTTGCTCTTACTTTCCTGAATAACATTACTGTTTTTACCTAAAAGGTACATACTCTATTTTTAATTCACTCCTGTATTATATAAACCACATATATAAAAGTATCTTAAAAAATGGAATCAGATTTTGAAACACTGATGTTACAGTTTATATTAGTGTTTCCTATAATTTATTTACAAATCTAGTGAAAAATTGGCTACTCATATATAGAGAGCCAAGGGAGAATATAAAAATAAGAGCCATGATATCTGGGAAAGGTTACAATGAAGTAAGATATGACTAGCACAAACTCTGGAATTTCATGTACTGTTGAAAATCAAACCAACTTGCTACCGTGCATAAGAAACCACACTTCAGGCATCATTTCCTGAGTATGACTTGTCATATGAAGCAGGTCCTATCCAAGAATTCCACAGCCAAAGAAAACACAGGACTCCTAAAAGAGAATCCGTTGCCTCCACACTGTGGTGTGGGGTGGACAGCAGAAATCAATGTATAGGAATTCTTGGATGTTGTACCTTTAACAGATTCACAAGTGAAACAAATAATTTTTTAAAAATTATTCATGAAATAAGTGTATGTGAATCTAAACTCCACATCACATCAGTCCTCTCTAGGGTCAATACATGAAGAATTGTTAGTATAGCATTAAACCAAGTCATATAGCTGTCATGTTATTTAGGTGAATGTTTTGGTCCATGTCTCAAAATATGACAAATAATAAGTAAGTCTTAGATTATAAAAGAATAAGTGGAGCTAATCCAGGCAGTTAGAACATTATTTTGATCAATTATTGATATATTGCAAAGTGTAAATTTTAGTGGGTTAGAGTTCAAATTTTGATTTATACAGACTAAAGTAATAAGTCTCATTTCTTTAAATTCTTTTTTTTTTTTTTTTGGTTTTTCGAGACAGGGTTTCTCTGTGTAGCTTTGCGCCTGTCCTGCAACTCACTTGGTAGCCCAGGCTGGCCTCGAACTCACAGAGATCCGCCTGGCTCTGCCTCCCGAGTGCTGGGATTAAAGGCGTGCGACACCACCGCCCGGCCGTCTCATTTCTTTAAAAACTATCCTCGTTATATATTCTAATTTTTGAAAAATAGTATGCTGAAGATTATAAAGACGGGATAATTTAAAAAGTGAAGTAATTAAATTCTTGTCAATCTGATAATTTCTTGGATAATTATTAAGTGACACAATTATACTAATGCCTAATATGTAGGACAATCTACACATTGCTGAAGAAGACAACAAAATCAATAGTTAGTGAAATTTCATAGCCTGGTTGTCTATACTGTGCTCAATGGCACCAGTTCTCTTTATAAATTTGTTTGCAAAGGAGAGTATGTAGGATGAAAGAGGATTTACCTAAATGTACTGAATGTAAAGCATTATTTACAATCCTTCTACACTGCCAAAGAATAAAGAGAATTCCATCATCAGATCTAAAAATGCATACAAATATGTATTAGGGTTCTTTTAAGGAAGAGATAAAATGAATACATATATTAGAAAGGAATTTATTTGGGTGACTTAGGGGTTCTGTATTAGCAGTTCAATAATGGCTGCCTCACACTAGAGAGGCCTAGAATATAGATGGTGTTCAATATACAAGACTGGAAGGCTCAGCATTCCTACTCAGGTGAGGAAGCCTGGAGAAATCCTCCAGAGCTTCTGGCCTTGAGTCTACTTTGAAATCCCAAAGAAGTAGGTTCTAATACTAGGGAAGGGATGTTACATCAACAGGATAGATTAACTTACCTGCAAGAATTAGGCCACTCAGGTAAAATGCAAAATTTCCTTCTTCCATGTCCTTTCATATGAGCTACTACCAGAAGGTGCATCACACATTTAGGATGGGTCTTCCAGTTTCAAATTCCCTGATTTAGAAAATCACTCAGGAATGTCCTGAAGCTTGCAAATCAGTTGACTCCAGATACCATCAAGATAACACCGAAATTAGGCATTACAAATCCATCCCTTGTCAGCATGATATACAGGCACATTTCCTTAAGTAATGCTTAATTTCCAAATGAAAGCAATAATCAGGTCATAATTACACCTAACATTCTATAACTGTCCCATGCACAACTATAAATGTATTATCTATTTTAGAATAGTGAACAAAGTCCCTTGAAGAATGCTTAGTCTTTTGTGTCTTTCAACTTAAATATGATAACACAGATTTACAACACTTAACCAATGATATTATCTCAATTGATATTACAATGCATGATAAAAAAAAACAGAGGGAAGAAAATGCAAATATCAGTGTATACATGCAAACATGTTCTTTGCATAATAAGACAGAAATTCATATCAATTACAATAATTTCTGCAACTGAATATTGGCCAATATTTATAACTATATTTCTCTACTATCTGTTTTTTTATTTCCTTCACCCTTATCAAGCAGCTTACTTTTACGAGTTTCCTAGAATCTATGTCAATTAAAAACAAATATCCAATAGGCTATGCAAATCTAATTGTTTATTTTTCCTCAATGCATAGTTACTCTAGTAAAATGCCATAGGTCCTTCTATAAAAGGGCAGGAGAAAGATTAACAATAAAACTCTTCAATATTCTAACACAATCCTAACTCAGGGGATCCTGACCTTCCCTTCATTCAAGGAGTTCTAGGTTTTCTAACTGGCTCAGGTCTAGAAATTGACAGGCAGAGACGCCTTATTGCGACAACCCAATTTATCCTTTTTTGTATTTGTTCTAGAGTTTTTCCACTTCCATAGATGAAACAAACGCTTAACAGGCTTCTATCTGTTTTGTTCCTAGAAGCACCATGTTTCATTAGCCAGTACCAAAGGTTCCTATGGGTCAGACCTTTACACTCATTGCTTTGTCTGTGCTGCCCATTCCAATACCTAGTCTTGTCTTAACTTTGACAATTCAATGATGCCACCTGACCTCTGCAACTCAGGGGCTCAGTTAAACCCATTATGATTAATTTATCCACTGAGCAGCAGCATCTTCAATCCTAAGATCTGACACAAGAAAAAGAGCAACAACAAAGCTTTTCAAATCTGCCGGTGCCTGCCTTAGTGTTTTCTGTGTTATATATTCCATGTCAGCCGTTCACCATTTTCTGTAGTGAAAGGCATGTATTCTTGGCCTTATGCCAGGGAAGGAAGAGATTTTGCACAGATTATCTACTCCAACATTCCAAAGCCTAGAGTCTCATCAACAATAGGCCAAGATGCAGCAGGCATATCCAGATCCCTCTAAGTAGAATATCATTTCAGAACCACATCAGCCTACCAATCATATAAACCTTTGGTACTCCTTTATTAACTGTGAAAACTTCCATATTAACCCCAGAATCACCACAAAGAGGGTCTATATCAATAATCACAGCCTGATCCAGTTTTGTGTTCCTTCTACCACAATCCTACACCTTTAAGATCCATTCTCACGAGCATTCCCTTGACCTCTACTTGAATGAAATGGAAAGTTCATTAATTTTTTTAATAATGTAGTGCCCCTCACAGACCTCACTACTCGGGCCATTCTTAGTCTCCTTAAAGGTCTACAGATAACAATTAGTAGGCACCAAGGGACATCTGTATTGTCTTGCCTAGCATTCCCTTTAAGGAAGGTAATTTTGAGTTCTGTGTACAATACAGGGCCACGTCTCTCATTCAAGGATGGAGAGAGCAATACTAGGAGGGATGTGTTTGTGGTGTATATTCTTATAAGAGTGGGGAGACAACTTTCTCAGGTGAGATAATATAGTGGTTTGAATGAGAATCCCCCCCCCCCACACACACACACACAGGCTCAGCTATTTGAACACTTAGTCATCAGTTGATGGTGTTGTTTGGGAGGCTTAAGGGGTACAACTTTGCTGGAGGAGGTGTGTCACTGTGGATAGGCTTTGAGATTATATAACCTCATCATACCTCTAGTTCACCCTTTCTGCTTTGTGCTTGTGTTTGAAGACCTAAGCTCTCAGTTTCCTGTTACAGCCACCATGCCTGCTGCTTGCTACCAGGCTTCCCACTGGGGACTGTTATCCCTCTGGAATCATAAGCCCAAATAAATGCTTCCTTCTATAAGTTCCCTTGGTCATGGTATTTTATTACGGTAAGAGAAAAGCAGTGTTCATGTATGAATACATATCCATTTATACAAAGAGACTCTTAACATCCATCATACTTACTAAATCGCTCCAAATGGTAGAAGATAGAAAATGAGAAAAAGAGTATGATGATCACAAGATAGTCATCTAACTGAGCATTACAATTAGTGTAAAATTTTATTATGAAATATATAGTCATTATATATATTCATATAGTTATAAAACATAAATACACAATGATTCTCACATATGTTACATTAGAGGCAGATGTGGCAACTGTAGCAAACATTTTGATATGTCATCAACACATGCTGATGTCATTGAATATTTTATTTATTAACTAATTGAGAGAAAATAGTTTTAAAAGTTCTGCTGACCTCATATAGAAGTATACAAATTTTCCCCCAGCTGTTTCTGAGTTTTGCCACCCAGGGAATGTTGTCTTTCTTAAGATCCTGGGAATCATCACTCTGAAGTGGAAACATTAGAAGTTGCTCCTATCTCTGCATCCAAGAGTGAGAAGGCCAACATTGGACTTTGAAGGACACAGATTACCTTAGTAGGTTATATAATCACAGGAAGTCCTCCCTGAGCATTGTACAACCTGTGGGTCAGCCTTCTCCATCCTTCGGTGCCATCCCACTGGATCGCCTCAGCACTTTCCTTTTTTTTTCGGTTTTTCGAGACAGGGTTTCTCTGTGTAGCTTTGCGCCTTTCCTGGAACTCGCTTTGGAGACCAGGCTGGCCTCGAACTCACAGAGATCCGCCTTGCTCTGCCTCCCGAGTGCTGGGATTAAAGGCGTGCACCACCACCGCCCAGCCAAACCTCGGAGTCTTTTGTTCAATGTCTCTCTTTTAATTCAGTAGTCTCCAATAAAGTCATCTTTGCCCTTTACCTTTAGCTCAAGTTTTACTTTAATAATAAACAAAATCCCAAATCGAACACCTCTTGAGAGGGCCCAGGTCCACCCTAGTTTTAACAATTTCCCATCATCATGTACTAGAAAAAACAATCACCTGCAGCAGACATCTTTCAGAAATTGTGTTTCCTTTGACAATCCGTTGAAAAGAGCAGTAGAGTCCAGTTTTTGAGTGAACTTTTCCCACTATCTACTAGACTACAGTCAGATGATTTACATAACTGTTAATGTGAACACCAGTTTTACATTTCAGTACTTCTTAATACTTTCTGGGTTTATGCTTTGTTTTGTGTTTTTCTTTTCTTCTCTGAATCAAATTCACATTTTCATGGTTATATGGTTTTCCTGATTGACTGCTGCTAACAAACATGCTAGTTACTTGGGTTTCTTTTCTTTTCCTCTGTTCCTTTCTTGTTCTCGTCCATGTATTTTTGGTGGTTGTTTGTATTGTTTCTTTTCTTATTTTCTCCCACTAATGCAGAGAAATAACTCAAGATCCTTGAGTGACAATCTAGGGATCAGTGGTAAGCTCCGGGCATATGTTTACATCTATATTATGAAGCTAGTCTATCTTACCTATGCCTAGAGATCTTCACTGGCAAGAACCTTTCTGTAGGAACTGCATTTAATTTTGCATTTGAAATAGCATTCTGTTCTTAAATAGGACTTCCAGAAAGATGTTTTAGTATATCCAAAATAGGACTTAGCTGTTTCCCCATATGTCATTAGTCTATTGCCTCAGTTTATTTAGTTTTAGAGGATCCTTTCTTTCCAGGGGTTCCTGAACATCATCTTCTTTACTTTAGGCAATGTTCTTTTCTTTTGTGTTCTTTCTTTACAACACTGTAATGTGATAATTTGGAAATTGTTATCTTTTTTTAAGGAAATAAGTGAATGAAAACTCAAATGCTAACATCTGCAGTGGCATTTCAATTTTAAACTAACTGTGTGTATAATGTTCTGCTTGGTAGGTGAATTATCATTTCCACATAATCATGAAAGATAAAAATTTAATAATCTCCCTTGGAGATATCTCTTTGAAATCGTGTGCAAAATACTAAGTAAGAAGTTAGCATTGCACTGTTCCTTCTCATGTTTCATGTTGCAAAAAATTTCAAACACATGCATTGAGTACAATGCTCTCCCTTTGTTAATTGGGTATAACAGCTAGCTAGAAAAGCACCATTTACTTATCCTGATACACACTAAAGATACTCGAATGAGGGCAGCTTCAAGTCCCAGAGTATATAAGGTGTTACATATTTGTTTGACACAGTCACATTATATTATGCAATCTCATGTATATTACTTTAGTGCTGTAAAATATTCTAAGGTTTAATGTCCCTTCCTTTACCTACATTTTTAGGCTAACTTTTACTATTGCCTTTCATTTAAGAACACAAACTTAATCTGTTATATACTAAGGTCCTAATGATAAGTATTTGATACATCAGCTCACTGTTACCATGCCTATTCACAGGATGTTGACTCTAGGAAAATGTGTTCACTGTAACTAACCTCCTGATAATTTCAGTGATGGAGCCCTTTGGGACACTTTCTCTTACATTTACACCAGTCAACCAGATTTTAAGGACTGTTCCAGAAGCCTCTACAAGATTAGTGTGTAGACAAGTGTGTGGTGCATTTTCCTTACTAATGATTGATGTGGAGGTGAGAGGGCTCGGCTCCCCATGGGCAGTGCCACCCCTGGGTAAGTGGTCCTGAATGATATCAGAGAGCAGCATGAGGAAGCATGGGAGGAAGTCTTTAAAGTAGTGTTCCTCCATAGATACTGCTTTGACTCCCGCTTCCAGATTTCCATCTTGAGATTGCCCTTGTCATTCCTCAAAAGATGGTGACCACAGATATGCAAGCAAAATAAACCCTTCCTCCAAAATTAGTTTTTTTTTTCTTCATTATGTTTTGTCATGGCAGTGGAGACTATGACTGGGAAAGTCATTTTTATCTATGTTACAATCACTTCTTTTCTATAAAAATGCCAATTACATAGGGATTCACTTCCAAATATATATTCTTTGAAAAAATAAACATATCAAAAAAATCTAACTTGTGGTGATATATTATTTGTAATCTAGGAAATAAAGCTTGCCTGAAGATCAGAGGACAGAGCTAATCACAGAGTTATACATAGAGGCCAGGCAGTGTTGGCACACACCTTTAATTCTAGCATTAGGGAGGCAGAGGCAGAGATCTGTCTGGATTTCTGTGTGTTCAAGGCCACACTGGGCTACATGAGATTAATCCAGTCTAAAAGAGAAACAGAGCCAGGCAGTGGTGGCACACACCCTTAATTCCAGCACTTGAAATCACACACCTTTAATCCTAGCACTAGGAAGGTTGAGACAGGAAGTGATATGGCTGGGCAGAGAAAGGAATATAAGGCGGGGAGGAGACAGGAACAACTCATGCTCTTTCAGGCTTAGGAGTTGGTGTGGTAAGAGGTAGTGGCTGTGGCTTGTTCTGTTTCTCTGATCTTTCAGCTTTCACCTTGATATCTGGCTCTGGGTTTTTATTATAAGACCACTTAGGATTCGTGCAACACTAACTACACTGACTATATCTAACTTCATTCCTGATTTCTGTATATGCATATCACTAAATGACTATGCTTTAGAATAAAGCTTACACATGTCCTTCAAAATATGACATAGGACAGACTGAACATATTTTCACCTTTCATCTAGCTGCTGTTCTTTTTTTTTAAAATCGTATTTTAGGCACTTCCCCCACAGCGGTGTTCACAACAGAAAAGCTTTTTCTCTCTTGTTGCCCATATTTTAGTGACATGAGATACATAAACACAAGACAGAGAGTTTTTTAATTATATAACATTAATCCATGAATAAATATAGTTTTGGCAAACTGCAAGTAGCGATTTGTAGTGGGGCAAGTTCTATCTGATAAATGGACAAATGACAATGAAGGTACTAAGTCATACAAGCATGGGTGAAATACCAAGTGAGGCCTCCTGGGAGAACTAAAATATGATGGTAAAAGATGAGGGCAGGGGGTGAGAAGTGTAGATTGGAAGCCACTGTCAAGTTTTGAACACATAAGTAAGAATATTTATTTTAGAAGGATCACACTGACTCCTGGAGGACTATACTACAGGAGGGCCAATATGGGAGTTGGGGAAACTTTTGACCTATTCAGACAAGAGAGGATTGTTGGAGAATATTATTTAAAGGTGTGTTGCTTTTGTTTATGCTGCACTTGTTTAACTATGAAGCTGCGTTACTGTGCCTGTCCAAAACACCTGATAGTCTAATAAAGAGCTAAACAGCTAATAGCAAGGCAGGAGAAAGGATAGGTAGGGAACAATCTGGGAGGAGCAAAGTAGGCATAGAAGGAGGAGGACTCCAGGGGCCAGCCACCCAGCTACACAGCAAGCCATGGAGTAAGAGTAAAATTTACAGAAGTAAGAGAATGGGAAAAGCCCAGAGGCCAAAGAGAGATGGGATAAGTTAAGTTAAGGAAAGCTGTCAAGAAACAAACCAAGCTAAGGCCCAGCCTTCATAATTAAGAATAAGCCTCGCTGTGTGATTTATTTGGGAGCTGAGTGGCAGGCCCCCCCAAGAGCAAAAAACAAACAACAGCAGAGGATGGTAGTTACAACTTGTAGTGGCCTTTAAAGGAACTAGAGGTGCTATGTTATCAATATCTCTAAACAACTGATAGTAGGACTTGCCAAGAGAGGGGGCATAGAAAACAGATGCAGCATTCTCCACCTAAGAAAACTGGTTGAATAGAGTTTAAATCTTCTGAGAAAGTCAGGTTTATTGGCTAGACAGGTTTCTGATGAGAAATGAGAATTTGAATTAGATCTTCTTAAGTATCGCTAAACACTCAAGAAAGACTCCAAGAATGCTCTGGGTTAAGTGAGAGTAGAGTCTAGGGGATTATATGATTAGAAATATGATTTAATTAGGGATATTAATTAGGAAATTTGGCCTGTGATCAGGAAATACAGTCAAGACAAATGGCATTTATGTCTGGACTTAATGTAGATGTGGACTAAACAGGGCTGGCATTGCAGCA